TGAGCTGTCACACTTGAGCAGCAGATTGTAGCAAGATAATGCTGGATCCTCTGGGCAGGTTGGTATGTGAATTGAGGACAGCACTGCATGATGGGTAAGAGAGGGTAAAAAAATAAGACCGGTTGTGAAGTAACTCTTTAAAGTGGAACTGAAGTTAATAAAACAAAAATTGCAAGCGTGCAGGGTCTTTATTGCAGCAGAGACATGCAGTGTGTCTGCTGCAGTAAAATACACTTGCCTGACTATTCACTGTGTCCTGAAAAATGTACAACTGAATGTGTGCCGGTATGACTGCACTCCTGCACGTGCATGGGAGTGACATCATCCTGTACTAGCCAGTCAAGACATCCAAGGACCAATACCCTGAAGAAGCTAGGGAGGAGATGCCAGCAAGAGAATCCACAGGTGTTGGCCTGTTGGAACAGAGGTAAGTATTTTTACCTTTAGCTCCATGTTAAAGTCGCAAGTAATTAAACCTGAACCTGACTTGGTAAAATTGTGCTTTAAGAGGTTAGTTCACCCAAGATTATAAACTCTCTGTTTTTTCAGTTGACTTCTTGGATACACAAGATTACAACCATCGCTCACCTGAATTCTGATTTGAATCTAGCCAAAAACACAGCTAGTGAGTATTGGCAAGTGTCAAATCTCCCTCTATTGCATCCAAGTTTCTTTGGAACTTTGCAGCCATTAACCACTTTCAGTATGGGCCTATTCTGACGTTGCTCTCCTACAAATATTTTTTTTTTTTTTGCTACAAAACTAATTAGAACCCCCCCTAAACATTATATATATTTTAAGCAGAGGCCCTAGAGAATAAAATGGTAAGTGTTACATGGTATTTGTGCAGCTTTTTTCTAACTCAATTTTTTTGGAAAAAATACACTTTGAAGGCTCATTCATATTAGATGCAGTCCAGTGTGGGTTTTTTCTGCATCAAAAAGGCATGCAGTGTTTTCCATGTATTGCAATGGCCCTAGTGCACACCCGTGCAGTCAGTTTATGGTGCAGAAAAAAAAAAAAGTAGAACATGCTGTATTTTTCTGCACAGAACTGTACCGGATCATAGCAAACTGCATCGGAACCGGAGTGTGCTGTGAACTATAAGTAAAACTGTATCCGAAATGTATCTAGAGGGCGCTTTTGTGTTGTGAACTGGCCTTTATACTGAATTTTAATGCACAAAAACACAATTTAATACCCACTTTTTTTTGTAAAATATAAAAGATATGTTATGCTGAGTAAATAAATACCAAACATGTCACACTTTCAAATTGCGTATAAAGCTATACCTCATATGGTTTACGTATGTTTATGGGACTTTAAAGGCTGTAAATGCCTTTTTAGACATATGCTCATCTGCTGTTCTCAAGCATCAGCTACCAGATATGTCCAGTTATTGATTCAAGTTCAGATTACATGTACACAGGGCTGAATAGGTAATGTGCCTAAAAATATGAAACTGAATTTCTGAGCCATTTTTTGCATTCAGTCATTGCAACATGTCAACTGGTTCCTATGTTGAACTGGAAAAAAAAATATATAAAACTGTCACAGTATTCACTCCATTCAACCTCTGACGGTATCTGTCACCAAGCTGTCAGTTCAATAACAGATCCTTTGATTCCTATAAGCTGTGAAATGGGGCCTTCATGAATTTGACTTGGTTTCCCAGCACATCCCACAGATGCTCGATGGATCGATATCTGGTGAATTTGGAGACACCTCAAACTCTTGTGTTCCTCATACCATTCTTGAACCATTCTTGCAGTGTTGCAGGGCACATTATCTTGCTAACAGATACCACTGCCATCAGGGAATAGCGTTTCCATTAAGGGGTTTACATGATCATCAGCAATGTTTAGGTAGGTAGGTGTCAAAATAACATCCATATGAATGGCGGGACCAAGTTTTCCCAGCAGAACGTTGCCCAAAGCCTCACACTGCCTCTGTAAGCTTGCCTTCTTCCCATACTGCATCCTGCTGCAATCTCTTCACCAGGTAAGTGACTCACACACCCCTGGCCATCCACATGATGTAAAAGAAAACCTGATTCATCAGACCAGGCCACCGGCTTTTATTGCACCCTTGTATAGTTCTGATGCTTGTGTGCTTTTGGATGTGGACATGGGTCAGCATGGGCCCACTGATTGGTCTATGGCTACGCAGCCCCATACACAACAAACTTTGAACCTCAGTTTTTCTTTTTTTTTATAAATTCTTTATATATCTTCAGAATTAATGAATATACATCTTATTTAAACCCTCGAATACAAACTGTAACAGATCCGCTACCATACCATACCCATAGACTTTTATCACATGTGAACCTATTACCTAGTTACAAAAGTAAAATTCCTGTTCTATCAAAAGGACCTTCTATATTTAAACATGCTGACTGTTCTTTACCCTTATTACCTGAAACAACCAAAAAAAACCCCATCCAATAACCAAATACTCAAACCTCCCCAACTTTCCTCTCGTATCTCCCCCCCCAACCCCTCTCCCCCTTCCCCCTCTCCTATCTCTTCCCCTCTCCTCTCTTCCCCCTCTCCTATCTCTTCCCTCTCTCCTCCTATCTCTTCCCCCTCTCCTCCTATCTCTTCCCCCTCTCCTCCTATCTCTTCTCCTCCTATCTCTTCCCCCCCTCTCCTCCTATCTCTTCCCCTTCTCCTATCTCCCTTCCCCCCTTCCCTATCTCTTTCCCCCCCCTTCTCCTATCTCTTTCCCCCCTTCCCCCTTCTCCTATCTCTTTCCCCCCCTTCCCCCTTCTCCTATCTCTTTCCCCCCCTTCCCCCTTCTCCTATCTCTTTCCCCCCCTTCCCCCTTCTCCTATCTCTTTCCCCCCCTTCCCCCTTCTCCTATCTCTTTCCCCCCCTTCCCCCTTCCCCTATCTCTTTCCCCCCCCCTTCCCCCTTCCCCTATCTCTTTCCCCCCCTTCCCCCTTCTCCTATCTCTTTCCCCCCCTCCCCCCCCTTCTCCTATCTCTTTCCCCCCCTTCCCCCTTCTCCTATCTCTTCCCCCCCCTTCCCCCTTCTCCTATCTCTTTCCTTCCCCTTCCCCCTTCTCTATCTCTCTCTCCCTCCACTTGATATACCCAAGTTCCCACCTCTTGGATATATCTTTATCTTACTGATTGTCTCACGGACCATATATCCCAGTACATCTCACTCTGTTCTCTCTCAGCCATAGTTAAATCTTCCATTATTTGGATTTCCGCTATTCTTGCAAGCTGATGTGACTTAGTTGGCGAGTCCTGGCTTTTCCAAAAAAGCTGCAAAACATGCCTTTGCCACCGTAATAAGATGTTTTAACAAAGAGTCCTTATATTTCCTGTAAGGTAAAGGTGTATCGTGAAGTAGGTACACAGTCAGATTCCTCTCAAGAGACACTCCATTTATTTATTTAATTGTTCCTTCTACCATCCTCCAAAATTCATTTAGTTTTGGGCATGCCCAAAAAATATGAAGTAGGGTACCTTCTGACTACCCACAGCGCCAACATAAATTGGAAGTCTGGGGGGAGATACAATACATCACTGATGGAGTTAAGTACCACCTTGTAAGGAGTTTATAACTTCCTCCTTGGTATTTACTCGCAATTGAGGATTTATAAGCAAGTGATAAAATTTTGTCTTTTTGAGTTTGTGTAAAAGCAATTCCTAAATCTTTTTCCCAATGTTGAAGAAAGGGAAGATTCTGTGGGGCATTGGTCCTTATCAACATCGAATACAGGTGGGACAGCAAGTGTTTCCTTGGTTCCCCCATTAGGCAAAACTACCCAAATGAGGAAAAAAAGTTTCTTCTGGTGAAGTTTGTTTCTGGAAGTGAACAGGAATATGCCCTACACTGTGCACAGCGAAGAAAATCCAGGGCATAGGAAAAGTTACTTATAATTTTTTCCTTCACCCCAAACTTGCTCATCCATGACTTTATGGACCTTGCTTTGTGCACTGGTGCACAGCCATGTTGGAACAGGTATGGGCCATCCCCAAACTGTTCCCACAAAGTTGGGAGCATGAAATTGTCCAAAATGTCTTGGTATGCTAACGCCTTAAGAGTTCCCTTCACTGGAACAAAGGGCCAAGCAAAACCCCTGAAAAAACAACCCCCACACCATAATCCCCCCTCCACCAAACTTTACACTTGGCACAAAGCAGTCAGGCAAGTACTGTTCTGGCAACCGCCAAACCCAGACATATCCATCGGATTGCCAGACAGAGAAGTGTGATTCATTACTCCAGAGAACACGTCTCCACTGCTCTAGAGTCCAGTGGCGGCGTGCTTTACACCACTGCATCTGACGCTTTGCATTGCATCGGCTCGGCCATGGAAACCCATTCCATGAAGCTCTCTATACACTGTTGTGCTATTCTGAAGGCCACATGAAGTTTTTGGAGGCTTTAGCTATTGACTCTGCAGACAGTTGGTGACTTCTGCGCACTGTGTGCTTCAGCATGCGCTGACCCCACTCTGTCATTTTACGTGGCCTACCACTTCGTGGCTGACTTGCTGCTGTTCCCAGTTGCTTCAACTTTGTTATAATGCCACGAACAGTTGACCGTAGAATATTTAGTAGCAAGGAAACTTCACAGATGCACAGGTGGCAACCTATCATGGTACCACTCTTGAATTCACTGAGTTCCTGGGATCGACCCATTCTTTCACAAATGTTTGTAGAAGCAGTCTGTATTCCTAGGTGCTTGATTTTATACACGAGTGGCCATGGAGGTGATTTGAACACCTGAAACCAGTGATTTGGAGGGGTGTCCCGATACTTTTAGCAATATAGTCATTTGCTTTCTTTCCTCCCTTTTTTGTTTTGACTCGTCCCAATACACACTTAACTCCTGATATAAACATGTGTTGTGTGATTAATATGATATATATATATATATATATATATATATATATATATATATATATATATATATATGTGTGTGTGTGTGTATTTATTTATTTTTTACACAAAGTGCTTGATTTGATATATTTTTCTTTTAGGGGTCCTGAAGATGCTATAAATGACTGTAAGATAGTTTTTTCTGAGGAAATTTACAAGATAGAGAAACCTGGGGCATACCCTCTGTCATCTGGAGATGGAGAGTTTAAGAGTAAGTGTTTTTGTTCTGTAACTGAGATGAGAAAGTGATCTATAAAATGTGTCCTTTTAACTATATGCTGGAAGTAAAGAACATTTTCTACAAATCTTCAAGCTCAAGGCTGTAGTTTTTTGGTTTTGTAATTCAAGCTCTACTGTAGGCAATTGTATATACTTAAAAGGATTTAATACGTTTTCCTTTATAAAACTGTGGACATTGTGGACCTAGCAATGATGAGAGAAAGAGGCAGTGCATGTTTGCTATCTAAGTAAATGGGGGTAGCCATTTAATTTTTCTGTCAACAGAATGACTAGAGAAGGCACTAAAGCTGGCCATAGATGTGCAGAATTTTGAAGGAAAGTTCTTAAGAAAAGAATATTTATTTTTGTAATCATTATTGGGTCAAATTGATGTTTGAGAAAATTTGAAGGAGCAGGATGGAAAATTGTTCTTGAACAAACACATTTCTAACAATGTATGTGGTTTTTGTTTGGTAAAGTCCATTCATCCCAAAATCAAATGTTAAAAGCAAACAAACTCTTTCAAGCAGCATTTAGCATGTTCTAAGTTTTTTTTTTTTTTTTTGTATACATTTTCCTAAATCTTTTCCTTAGAATTTTTATTCAAATTTCTCTCCATCTATGGTCAGTTTTAGGGTGCTATTGTTATCATGGTAATGTTTCAACTTCTAGATTACTGGCATTATCAGAGGGCTTTTGTGGGGCATGTGACTATTTTTCATAGGGGCTATTGGAATACCTGTTTATATGAAAACTCTTTAAATTTTATTCCCATTGGAGAGATTTCCTCATTTTCTGTTGTGCCTCCAGGACCGTAAAAATAAATCTTCCGAGCAGGACATAGGCGAAATAGACCGATAGGGAATTTTCCCTTTCCATCTCTATTTACAATTAAGCAATGGTTTTAACCACTTGCCGACCACCCACAGTACTTTTAGGCCAGATCATGTACATGTATGTCATCCAGCCTGCTCGGGTTAGGGGCACACAGCTCCCGAGACTGCTGTGTCCGCTGGATACAGCGGAATGTGGATCCCGGTACTCGGGGGCCCGATGATCATGTGCTTGCTATACGATCACATGTCAGCAAAGTTATGAAGTAATTCATAATTGCTGTGTTTCCTATGTTGTAATTGGCCCACAGCTATCACATGGTACCTGGGCCAATCACAGCACCTTCTACCATGTGGTTAGCTGTAGCCAATCACTAGTAATCACAGCTGTCATGCGTGTAACCCATTCGTGACAGATGAAAACTTTGCCATTACAATGAGCTTTATTGTAATGGCAAACAACGTGGAAAAAAAATCCCTGATCGCCCCCTCTGAGTAATAGTGTTACTATGGCGATACTGAACTACTCTGATGAAAGTATGTAAAAAAAAAAAAATCGTAAAAAATGAAGAAAAAAGTTTAAAAAAAAATTGAACATATAATTATGAGCACCACCACATCAGTCATGTCATGACACTGTACTGCACTGGTGACAGTGAAAAAGAAATGTAAAAAAAAAGCAAATGTTATTCAATTCCTTTATTTTCAACAAAATTGTGAAAAATTACAACTTCAAATAACTCGCCATGCCTCTTACTAAATGCCAAAAAAGGGTCATTTGGTGGGAATTTGTACTGTGATCGGTTGTCAGTATATCAGAATTGATCAATTTAAAAAACAAAAAAAAAAAAAATATATATATATATATATATATATATATATATACACATGCCATAGCTTGAGATACTATACCTTTCACACAGACCATTTAATATCCAATTATTGGGTCTTTTTTTCCCAAAGACATGTAGCAGAATACATATTGGCCTAAGTTGAAAATTTGATTTTATAAGATATAATTTCTACTTTCTGTTCCAAAACATTTTTTTATATAGCAAAAAATAAAAAACCCAGTGGGGTACAAATACCACCAATAGAAAGCTCTATTTGTGTAAAAAAAAAAAATGCGAAAAATGTAATTCGCATACAGTATTGCATGACCGCGTAATTGCAATTTAAAGTAGGGCAGTACTGAATAGCAAAAAAATGCCCTGGTCATGAAGGGGGTAAAATCATCCGGAATTCCAATGGTTAGGAACACTTTTGCAGAGTTTTTTTTGTATTTGTATATTGCTGCATTTCATTATGCTGTAAAACACAACTCCAACCAAAATCTTTCAATTGGACAGAGTGAAGAACGGTTATAAATCTGTCACCTTTTTATTTGCTGTCTAAATTTATTTATTTAAATCACTTATTTTGGTAATTTCTCTTCATTTCGTGTTTATTTCATAGTGGTCAGGAAATGACATAAAAATCTCCTCAACTGGGGTTCAAGATGCAAAAAAAAAAAAGTGAGGAGGAGTTAGACACATTGTCAGGATTTTATTGCCATCTGTGTCCTCAATGAGGAGATTCCCTCTCACCTCCTCAGACCTTGCTGTCAGACAGAACAGGAAGCAAGGAAAAAAACAACTAAAAAAAAAAACAGAACTGCATTTAGAACCTGGCACTTCATTCCTTATTTGGCCAGTTAACAGATCCTGACCACACCTTCATTTTACAGGGAAGAGTGGTCCTGAATGCAAGTACTGCAAAGCAGACCCAGAAACAGAATGCAGATTTTGTTCCTGTTATGTGTGTGGAGGGAAGCAGGATGCCCATATGCAGCTGCTGTGTGATGAGTGTAACATGGCCTACCACATTTACTGCCTAAACCCACCACTGTCGAAGATACCTGAAGATGAAGACTGGTATGTTTTTTTTCTTAATAGTTTACAGTTATACCAATTTCCCGGGGGAATCTCATATTTGGTTGTCCCTGGTTTAAACATTGATCGGTGTTAAAATGTAATTCCTGTTTTTGGAAAATTGTTGTAAGACTATGGTATATACTTTTTAGGTGAATATTTTTTATCTTTCCTTTTTTGAATTCATAAACGTATTTAAATTCAAGGAAATCTATTTATTTATGGTCTCTATAAAGGGACACAAGTAAATCAGACAACTGGGTTAAACTGTCGCCTTTAGGAAGGATTTGACACTGGCAAATAAAACCAGCCAGATACTTACCCTCCAACTCCCACAATGCTTAATTTTTTTCTAGTGTCCTTGGAGAATGGATGGCCTTTTCCTTTTCTTTTTTTTTTTTTCTCTAGACTTTATATTGAAGGTCAGAACCCAGACCATGTTGGTTCAAACATTGCAGGGCCTGGCTGTGATGTGCTCCTTAGGTGCTGGGCTCTGCTTGTGGTGCTCCCAAGACATCTACTATAGTGGCTTGTTAGCCACAGGGCACTTTACCAGGTTCAGGGGCCATACCACAGCCTCTGGTGTAACCTAGTCCATGAGGACTCAAAAGTGAGCATGCCCACAGACAAAGTAAACATAACTTGGAATGTGAGCCTTGGGCACTGGACTCTGCATATGGCACTCTTCAGTCCCTTAATACTGTGTGTGCTAGATGCAGAATACATTCTATGTCCACAATTATAGTAAGTCTCTGAGGGCTCTTGTCCTTTTATGTCTATATTCTGAGCCTAGCATATTTGCTGGTATTTTTTCTCACTGTTTTGTTTTTCCTATTCTATCAGTTTTTGTGGGAATGGGTTTATGCACTGTAGAAAAAAAGTGCTGCTTCACTACCTTCAGGGCTGTGCACACACTGCACCATCTGTTCCTGCTTTCAGTGTGAGGTAGTTCCTGGGTCTGCTGAAGCTGCAAACACAATTGTTACTGCCTACAGTGACTCCGTCACCCAAGGCCATTATATACAGTTGCAAGAAAAAGTATGTGAACCCCTTGGGATTACGTGGAGTTTTGCATGAATTGGGCATAAAATGTGCTCTGAACGTCATCTAAGTCACAACAATAGAAGAACACAGTCTGCTGAACATAATACTACACAAACATTAGATGTTGCCATGGTTTAATTGCACATAACATGCAAACATTCACAGTGCAGGGAGGAAAAAGTATGTGAACCTTTGGACTTAATAACTGGTTGACCCTCCTTTGGCAGCAATAACCTCAACCAAACGTTTCCTGTAGTTGCAGATCAGACCTGCACAACGATCTGGAGTCATTTTGGACCACTCCTCTTCACAAAACTGTTTCAGTGTAGCAATATTCTTGGGATGTCTGGTGTGAATCGCCCTCTTAAGGTCATGCCACAGCATTTCAATCGGGTTGAGGTCAGGACTCTGACTGGGCCACTCCAGAAGGTGTATTCTGTGCTGTTGCAGCCATTGTTTTGTTGAATTACTTGTATGCTTTGGGTCATTGTCCTATTGCATCTCCCATCCTCTGCAGAGCTTCAGTTGGCGGACAGATGGTTGTACGTTTTCCTGCAAAATGTCTTGATAAACTCTGGAATTCATTTTCCCAACAATGACAACAATCCGTCCAGGCCCTGAGGCAGCAAAGCAACCCCAAACCATGATGCTCCCTCCGCCATGTTTCACAGTGGGGATGAGGTTTTGATGTTGGTGTGCTGTGCCTTTTTTTCTCCACACATAGTGTTGTGTGTTCTTCCCAAACAACTCAATCTTGGTTTCATCTGTCCACAGTATATTTTGCCAGTAGTGCTGTGGAACATCCAGGTGCTCTTTTGCAAACTTCAAACGTGCTGCAATATTCTTTTTGGACAGCAATGGCTTCCTCCGTGGTGTCCTCCCATGTACTCCATTCTTGTTTAATGTTTTCCTTATTGTAGATGTGTCAACAAAAATGTTAGCATGTGCCAGAGATTTCTGTAGGTCTTTAGCTGACACTCTGGGATTCTTCTTTACCTCATGCAGCATTCTGCGCTGTGCTCTTGCAGTCATTTTTACAGGACGACCACGCCTAGGGAGAGTAGCAACAGTGCTAAACTTTCTCCATTTGTAGACAGTCTGTCTTACCGTGGACACATGAACATCAAGGCTTTTGGAGATACTTTTGTAACCCTTTCCAGCTTCATGCAAGTCAACAATTCTTGATCATAGGTCTTCTGAGAGCTCTTTTCTGCGAGGCATGGTTCACATCAGACAGTGCTTCTTGAAACCAGTAAACCCAAACAGGTGTGTTTTTTTTAAGGGCAGGACAGCTGTCAGCAACACATCCAATATCATCACACTGATTGGAGTCAAGGTTGGCTCACTCCTGGCTCCAATTAGCTCTGGGAGAAGTCATTAAGCTAGGGCCTCACATACTTTTTCCTCCCTGCACTGTGAATGTTTACAAGTTATGTGCAATTAAACCATGGCAACATCTAATGTTTGTGTAGTATTATGTTCAGCAGACTGTGTTCTATTGTTGTGACTTAGATGACGTTCAGAGCACATTTTATGCCCAATTCTTGCAAAACTCCATGTAATCCCAAGAGGTTCACATACTTTTTCTTGCAACTGTACCTTTCCTACTCTGTTTCTGAGCTACCAAGGTGTTTTTTGTTTTTGTTTTTTATGGTGTGTTTATATGCCTTAGCTACAGTTCAATATCTTGAATCCCAAACACAAAGGGAGGAGTCCCTTGGATGTATTAAAGGATTTTTAACCAAAAATAATATGCATTTATTGTTTTTTGGTTGCAGGAACCTGTAAAGCATTGCACCAGTGATCAGCAGATGGTGCCATGCAGGTCTCCTGCAGACCTGTCAGTATATCTGCTGGCCCGCAAACATATACTGCCAGGAAGATTCAATTAGCTACCATGGCGCTCCACAGCGCCATGGTAGTTCACTTAGAACTACAAGCTGACGGCTGCTAAGGCTGTCGGGACTTGTAGTTCATTCACAGAACACAATGAATGACACGGCCACGTGAGTGGAGCCCTGCACGGCCACGCTGTTTTTGAAGTGACATCTAGCATGGGGAGTTTCTCCCCATACTTCTGTCACAGGGAGAGGGGGGATTGGGCAGCGGCTGCAGCAATGGGAACATGTTACATGTTCCACCTTAAAAACAGGTGCAACCTTTAACATGTTCCAAAAGGTGAACTTTATCCCTTAAAGCTCTACATCCAACACTATGGGGAAGCTTGGAGTGTCCCTCCTCAGTGAACCTGGCTATCAGTGTCTGATCCCTGTCACCTGCGTGAATTCACACTCTTCTATGAGTGTCTTTTTAGCTCTTTCAGGTGTGTGGATCCTTCCTCTGCTTTATCTAGGGAGGGGTTTTCTGATACTATGCTAGAATATATGAACAAAAATCACTACCATAATAGCTGTTTCAGAACATGAGGGTCATTCCCTCCTGCGTCCTTTTTGATCATTCTTGCAGCTGTTGTGGCCTCTGAGCGTTCTGTTGCAGATAAAAAAAAAAGTGATGTTCTACCATGGATTCAGTGATTTCCGATCTTCATAAACCACTGATTGTTTCCAAATCCTTCTTTTGCCTGGCAGGTTCAAAAATGCAACCTGCCATAACTATCATGTCAATCTGGCAGACATTAGGGGACTGCACTAAGAATTTGTCAGAGGAACTATTTTTACTGATCAGTTGGTTACGAAACACTTGAAACTTATGGCCTCTTTTATTTACACTATTGTATTGATGGTTTAGTGGGTATTGTCTGTCTCATTTCCTGCATGAGTCTCCTTTCAGTTGATCTACACAGAACTCTTTGGCTAAAATGTTATTTGCAGAACAACAGTTAAAAAAAATGCTTATTGTGCATGCCTTTTCACAGCTAAAAACTTTTTGGTGCTTCTTTGGACAACTATTAAAGATTTCTCTGTTTGCAAAGTAAGCCTCAATTTGGGAAATTTTACCCATCCATCGATATTAAAAAAGATTTCTCTGTGTTTCTTCATGGCCTCCTATTCCAAAGTCACACCTAAATCAAGCTTGGACCCAATTCCATGGCAGGCCCTTGGCTTTCAAATCTTTTAAAATTTCCAGATCTACAGAAAAATCCTCTGCATGCCTTGTCTTAAAACATGCTGGGCGCATAGGCAAAGAACGTGGTATTCAGGGGCTACAAACTAGAGTTCTGCTCTTTACATCCAGCCCAGTTCATGATGTCCAACCTATTTGTGTCTCTGCACAGGCTAGCAGTCCTCCAGGCTGCTCTTCAAGCTCTCTAAATAGGGAACTATTGCCAGTGTTGCAAAAGCAGAAATATTTTAGGGTCCTTACTTAATCTTGTTCACTCTTCCCAAACTAAAAGGGGGGACTTCTTTCTTGCATCTATAAGTCTAAAATGTCTCATTTCTTCCTACATTCTACTAGGCCTTAGCTGATGCGAACCTGGATGTATGGTCTTTCAGACAGCTCTTTGAGTTGCAGGCTGCACACGGTGTTTGCACTGTTAGGCTGCATTCACACGGGCGATTAAGGCTGATGCATGTTGCAGTGGCAGGAGTCTTCTGATTCCTGCTGCTGCTGTGAGCAGCCAGGTGTGGCCACCAGCCCCATTCACTATCATGACCAGTTGCCAGCAGCTGCATCTATTCGCCGTTCTCAGCACAACTAGTGATTACCTGTGATGATCGCTGCATTTATGTTGACCATGCAGACAGCCGCACCTAGCTACTTGCAGCAACAGGAATTTTAAAGCACCGGTGTGAATGTAGGCCTGTTAGTGTTTTGTTGCAGTTGCCGTTTTTGGATGTACAAGTTGTGTCTGATTTTTTTCTGATCCCGTGTCCCTTAATAAACAATATAGAAAACAGGACTTTTGTACCAACTATAAAATCTGCTTTGGAGTTCACTAAGGGATATTATGGTAAGTACAAAATCCTGGTTTTTTGTCCTCATGACATTTTCCTGGTCCTATGGGAGAGTAATTCAATTAATCGGCTCATGTATAGCACTTAAGCAGTAAAAAAATGTACATGGGAATTATTTTAAAAGGCCAGCACCTCCCCCTTATCCCCCCTCTCAATTTATCTTGCTGTCCTCCTATTTTCTTTCTGTTCTTGCGCTCTGCCTCCACAATCCCCCCTTAGTCAACACCTCGTAGGACCCTTTCCACTCCTTAGACATGGAAGGGTGGGACCCTAGAACAAGAGGAGTGGAGACCTCAAACTAAAATCTCCCCCCCATTCCCGGATGATAGCCCATCACTTATTGTTCTTGTGAACTATGATGTATGCCACAAAATAAAGATCTCATTAAAGGCTGTATACAGTATGTCTATATGTATTGCAAAAATTTGGTATCCTAATGCTTCTTTTTTACATAAGCTGTTGAAGTGGCTGTAAAGGCTCAAGGTTTTTCATCTTCATGCATTCTATGGTTTAAAATCACCTGTGTGCAGCAGGCCCCCCTGCCCCCCCTAACACTCTTACCTGAGCCTTCTCTCAATCCAGTGATGTCCCTGGAGAGCAGGGGACGACTCTTCATTGACTGAGACAGCATCAAGAGCCATTTGCTCCCATTATTGTCAATCACCGCCAGTGAGGAGAGAGCGGGGCGAGCCACGCTAGTGTGTGAATAGATACACAGAGCAGTGGCTTGAGAGCCCTTGGAGGAATCTGCTTGCTAGGGGGCAGGAGGGCAGGGCAAGGAGTGCTGACAGTGGACTTAAGAGGATTGGGGCTGCTCTGTACAAAACCACTGCACAGAGCAGCCAAGTATAACGTTTATTTTTTTTTTTTTAATCTGCTTTAATATCACTTTTAAAAAAAAAAGGATAAGAAAAATATAGATAGATCGATCTATCTTGGAACTGTGTAATAAATCTACTGCTCCATTGTAGTTCATTCCATATGTAGGTGCTTATAATGTACGACACACATACAGTGTACCAAACAAAACTACTGCAGCAAGGTATGCGTACATTCTAAATCAATTTTAATTTTTACATTTTAGCAGCTGGGTTTACCTAGGAGTAGGTCAGTATGCAGCCAGCAGGAGCCTTAACAAGCCAGCTTTCACTGTTTTTTTCTGGTTTGGGTGCATTAGCCCTTTAACATGCATTGCCTGCTGTTGGATATTGGCCTAAAATTGTAACCTCGCTGGTAACCCTCTTCACTGATGAAACACTACTGCCAGTGGTGATGGAAAAACATGTTTACCCTGTATACAATCTTATCTCCCATCTTCTTTGTTTTTAGGCAACAAGCATGTCATTTCTGTGGGTACCGTTTTTACTATTGCATTTCAGTATGTTGTTTCCAGTTGTTTGGGTAGTAGAATATATAGGGTATAGAACTGTTAGTATTATTGATAAACGAAACCGTGTGTGCTTACCTATAGAATGTATATTATTTTCTTTCTTTAGGTATTGTCCTTCCTGTAAAAATGATTCAACTGAAGTGGTGAAGGCTGGTGAAAAACTGAAACAAAGTAAAAAGAAGGCAAAGATGCCCTCAGCTAGTACTGAGAGTCAGAGAGATTGGGGCAAGGTATTGTACCTGTTGTGCAAGATATGGGATATTTTGTTTGCATCTCCACACGATAATGTGCAAAAACAGGGAATTCTACATGTTCATCCCAACTGAGGATACACTTGCTTAATGCTGCATCAAAAATGCAGCAAGCTGGAATTACCCAGTACTTCTGGGTATGCGGGAGCATATGACTGACTGCATGTGACAGTGCTAGGCCAATTGGCAATGTCATAATGGGATTCCATTGAGAGCCTTGTGTAAAGTGTGACACCAGTGACTTATGGCCTACATAAGACTTTTCTAAAGCTAAATGGAGTTGTTAGTAACCAAATGAAGGTAGGTACAGTAAATACAACACTAAATTACTGGCAGCACAAGTAAATATTCAAAATAAAATTTAAAAAAATCATAAAATGAAAGTGCTAAAGCAATCATATATGAGTCCACAAAAACTGTGTGTCATAAGTCCATCCCGCAATCTGGTCACCATGTGACTTTGTAGACTCTAAGTGAGTGCAATGAGCTTGCAGACCCTTCTCCACAACACTTTGTTCTCAAAACACTCCCCAGTCTGACACTCACAAAATAATATGGCTTATCTATGAAATAATAAGCATAAGCACTTGTATTCAAATGCTCCTCCTTACATCTGCACTCCCTCCACATCGCTATGATAGCGGGTAGAAGTAATGCACAATCAGCGGTCAACTCTGAGCAGTGAATACTCCATAGAAGGAAAAGAAAAGATCAATAGTGTAACTCTACTAAAACAAGTTTTTAACATCCAACAAAATCCTACTCACAAACAGGAGTTGTATAATCAGCCCATCAATAGTCACACCTGTCTCTCCACATAGTGTGGTATGCTGCATTAGTGACGTCTCAGCCATTCACCTTTGCTAGCCACGAGCGGGGGATATGAGGTGGTCATAGGTTGCTGTGCAGTTGGATCCTGACATGTTTTGTCACCTGAATTCTTCAAATGTTTGACCACACAGCAATGTTGTTTTTGTTTTTTCCTATCCCTAAAGTGTTACTAAACCCAGGACCCTGCATTTACTCTATCTGGTCTCCCACAGTACATGGAAATGCAATTATTTTAGTAAATATAAACTGCTAAATACCTTTTCTCATCAGCAGTTAGAGCAGTCTTATGACTTCTATCAATGTTCAGCAGAGCACTGGTTTAAGCTTATAGGAGGAGTTTCCTTTCTGCTCTAGGAGGATGCAGAACCCCTGACCTCTGTCAGTTCAGTGCGGATTGGCCCTGTGCTGATCACATGCACTCTCCCAAGAAAAGAAAAACCTCTGTAGCAATACACACCAAACTGATCATCTGAAGAGTGTTTCCACACAATATGTCTTATTAGGAGATAAGAGGGGAGCACTGGAAAAAGGGGAGAATCAGAGAAGTCAGGAAACAAACAGCATTTTTACACAATGCGGAGGTTTAACCCCTTAGGTTCCACAGTGAGTATAACAAGCATGCTTTACTGCATATACAGACTGTTTTTACTGTTGTGGGTTTAGTAACACTTTAATCTGTAACTCCAACAATGCCGAATAATGTGTGACACTGCCAACACGAAATAGCTCCATCTTATGGTCGGTGCTGATACTACACCTCACAGACATCAAAATACCTGGAGAGCAATATATAATTCAACACATCATCTTTCTATCCATACAGTCGTATCAGACCCTTGGCGATTGCATGGACCGTCACGCGTAAGCGACTTTTTCCATGATTTCTCTTAGCAATTTTACAGGGTAGGTTGCCAGGTCTTTCCCCAACCCCTACCATGCAGGAAATCCCGCAACACATAAGCATAGATATATATATATATATATATATATATATATATTCTATATATATATATATATATTTCTATCAAACAATGATCATAATATAATCCCAGTTAAGTAACAAACCTTCTAGAATGACGAACAAAAAATTACATATAATTCAAATATTAAAAACATTATACAATATATTAAATCAAACAAGTCAATTCATGACAATTTATCTGATTTTGCCTAAAACAGATTTTGTCTGTTTTAGCGTTAAAACATCCTCCAAATGACAATGACATAAATGCAATATCGATCTGCCTTCTTTCTGATAAAAGATGTATACGCCCCAAAGGAGTATTTACCAGATATATATATAGCCATTACAAGTTGGACATCACTGTTAAAACAATTAATGTCCACCTCCACATTAAGGGGCAATGGGGTCAAAGTCCTGAGCTGGTTTATCCATTTTGTCCCCCTCTTGGAGAGATCCCTCAAAATGTTGGACCCCCTCCAAGATGGATATATTGTATCTACTCCCCAAAATTGTAAACCCTCAAGATTTTTTTCATGTACTTCTCTAAAATGTAGTGATACACTATGGCTGCAAAAACCTATAATTATATTGTGTACATGCTCCGCCAGTCTCTTTTTAAGGGGTGTTTGGTCTAGCCCACATATTGAAGGCCACAAGTGCACTGCAAAACATAGACCACATGGGTGGTGTCATATAAAATAAACTCTGCAATCTCATGAGTCCTATTTGTCACCCCAGATATAAAATTCCTCCTACTCCTTAGCTATTCTACATGAGTGACACTTTCGGCATGCAGAAAAGCCTTTTCTATCTATTATTTACTATTGGTCTGATGTGTAGTCTACTCTCTTAAAATATCATCCTCGGAACCAAAGCTACTTCCTCAGCAATTCTGTCTAGTTGTTATGCTGAGTGTCCCTTTTGTATGAATTGGTTTCTAATAGTGAAAGACTGTTCTCTAAAATCAGTTTCACAAGTGCAATTCCTTCTTACTTTCATAATTTGTCCCTTCGGTATGTTCCTTAATCAGATGGGGGGATGACTAGTATTAAATCGATAAATAGCTATTTCTGTCTGTCAGTTTAAAATAAACCTTGGTGGCCAACTGATCACCATCTCTAAAAATAATTAAATAAAAAAAACTGATCTGTTTAGTAACTGATATTCCAACCTAATTTTCTGAGTATTTTTATTTAATGTTTGCATTAAATCATGCAAACTCTGCTCTGAACCTTCCTAAATGAACAGCAGATAATCAGTGAACCTACGGTAAAAAATTAGTTTGGGTCTCTGATTGTGAGCCATAAAAATGTTTGCTAAACTTAGCTCAAATTTCGCGCTCATGGCTACCCCATTCAGTTGTTTATAATGTTGGCCTGAATACCAAAAATAATTATGTGATAAACAAAAACCCAACAGTATATGCTGTTGAGTAGGGCTAAATTAAAATGAGCTTTTTGCTTTACCCTGCGTAGGAAAAGCAGTCTTACCTTAGGACCCCTCTACACCTTGGTGTCCTGGTGCTTTGCAGTAACACATGTTTTGGCGAACATTAACATGTTTTGCGTTATGGCAGCCCATTCACTTGAACATCTAAAATATCTGAGGCATCATGGTTGTGCGTTACCTATCATTGCAGTACACTGCAGTTCTTGTGCATTCCCTTTGTGCATTGGGGTTCTCTTTGCAAAGGAGTGCCACTGCTGTGCTCTAATGTATGTGTATTGTATGCATTATTGTAACACCCACGTTACCACAACTTTCTGGTGTGAATGGGTCCTTGGGTTCACACTGTTGCACTGGGGCTACACTTACATTCATTCTTAATGGCAACCCAACAGACTTGCTTGGAAGCACACATAAATGCACAGTACCCAGATCAGGATTTCTGATTTTCTGTATGATCTGTATGATTTTTCTGGATCATTGACTTAGGGTTAACATTGACTGAAAATGTTAAAGCCTTAGACATCCAGGCTGCTAACCTGAAAGTCTTGAATTTAGAAAGAAGTGTCTTTTCCTGAGGTTGATCCTGCTGTCTTTGTCCTCAACAAACATCTCATTGTATCTGGTGAGGATGTGATGTTCCTTCTTTCAAATATTTTGCAGAAAGAAAATTTCAGACACTTCTGAAAGCTCTCTTTAACCTGGCAGGCCTAGCCCTGCAACCAGCTCTTGCTGCAATTTCAGTATATCAAACTGCAACTACCTGAACTAGAACAATGATCAACCAACATGACCCTGTATTTCAAGATCATGCTGTTACACAGCAATTATAGCAGTTGCCTTCTGCTCTCCTTTTTTTGTGTGGATGCCTAGATACATATCATTAGGCACATCTCCAGAATGGCTCTAATCTCCATTCACATGCACAGAATCTTACGTCTTAAAGCTTGGACAGCTGAAGCTGCCTGTAAAAGATGCCTCACACATATGCCCTTTCTAGGAAGATGTCTTTTTGGTAAGGCAATTCAGCAAAGAGGTTACAGGTGGAAACATTCTACTTCCACAATGGAAGGTTCCAAAACCAACCTCCTCAGCAACCGCTAGCTCTTCTCAATCTTCTAAATGAGCAGTTAACTGCTCTAACCAGGCTTTGACTTCAGAACCAAAGTTCAGCCATTTCTTCCAGGACAAGGCGTGGCCTACAAAGGCCACCAAGCTTTCCCCAAAGCCCTTTTTATGATGAAGGGGACATTTGTTTGCCTCTCTACGTCATAGATGTCCCAGACCTGTTGGTTCACTTGGTGGTTTCCAAGGGGTACAATATAGAATTCACGACTGCCACCTCACTGCTTCCTTCTTTCAAGTCAGGCAAAAACTGTCCAAGGACAGTTAGGTACAGAATACTGTGGACCACCTCTTGTCCCTGAGAGTGGTTGTGCCAGTACTGCCACAAAACAGGCTCAAAGGATTCTACTTAAACTTGCTCATGATATCAAAGCCCAATAAAGATATCTGTCCGTCAGTAATTGCTTATCTGAGACAAGGGGAATACATGGCGTCCATTGACATCCAAGTTGCCGATCTGCATGTTCCCATTAACCCACCTCATCAGAGCTTACTACACTTCGCAGTGTAAAAAAAAATAAAAACACTGCTAGTTTTTTCATACTATCTCTTGGCCTATCTTCTGCTTTGGGGGGGGGGGGGGGGGGGGGGGGGGTGGGGGGGGGGGGGGGGG